TAAAAAAAAAATGGAGGGGCACCTGGGTGGCTCAGTGGTTAAGCGTCTGCCTTCGGCTCAGGTTGTGACCCCAGGGTCCTGGGATCGAGTCCCACATCGGGCTCCCTGCTCAGTGGGGAGCCTGCTTCTCCCTCTCCCACTCCCCCTGCTTGTGTTCCCTCTCTCGCTGTCTCTTTCTCTGTAAATAAATAAATAAAATCTTAAAAAAAAAGTGGAAAGCCCTTACTTTAGGAGGACTTTTTCCAGGGCAGGCACAGTTACTCTCCATCCCCCCCTCCAAAAGGCAATAACAGAACAGTACCCCTGGCTGAATTTATGACCTATACTCCTCCCCCCTGCAGGGGAGAGGAAAAGGGCATGACTTTGAGAAAAACAAAGTATCAGGGGTTGATGGTGTGTGCTGAACTTTAAAATGTTAAATTACGGTGAAAAATATTTTGGAAGAGAAACTATCTTCGAAATTGTGCTACATAGTAAAGTTAATGGAGCCCATATGTCGTCTACTAAAACTTAGAAAAACAAACTGAAAACAATACTTTAGCGTCTGCCAGGCTGAAATGTGATCTACTCCTTAATATTCACTCAACCCAGAGTAAAATGCTTTAAAATGGTAATGATTCCAAAGTGCAGCCTGAGCTCAGTGGATAAACAACAGACCTCAAACACGGCAGGGGGTGGGGGTTTATGTTCTGATCCCAGCTCTGGGCAAATCACTTAATCTCCTGGTTCTTTCTCAATTTTCTCAGCTCTAGAATGGGGATATCAGTGTTTCACAAGGTGTTTACAAGACATCCTAAAATGATTGAAAAGCACTTTACAAATGTTCAATCACCGATGCTTTCTTCATAACTTGGCTTTATAACATCCTTCACTATTCATTCAGTGATGTGGAAATAAATAAAGACACACCAAATGAGCACAGAGGCTATTTATTCAGAGCTTGCTATAGTAAGGGAGTCAGCCAACATCATTTGCCTTTGGCGGAGACTGGAGCCAGGCATTGGACTAGCTGAGCCCTAGAGTGGGAAAGAGGGAAGCCTTCAGATAATCCCTAATTGGAGTTTATTGGCAATGGGAAAGGTGAAGATGGGCTATCTAGAAGCGATTGGTTTGGGGAGCATATTTGGCTTTCTCGGGTTGGTCCTGGTTGGAAAGGGGGTGGGGATCCTGAGTTGGAAGCCAAGTTGCGTGGCTTGTTCAGCTGATTGCAGCAGAGGTTGTGGGTCAGAGTTCTGCCGTCATATAGGTCATATATTTGGCCATTGCCTATTTGTATATTCAGTCTCTGAATATACATGGAAAATGAACGGTGGAAGGGATCCAAATATGCATTGATACAACTAGGTACCTGCCTAGTAGTCTTGGAAGTAGCTTGTACTTTTTATACCTTTCAATCACTTTTGGAAGCAGCGAATTTCAAAGATAGACTCCTGAACTAATAGTATTCCCTTTCCAGAATCAATGGGCATACCACCAGACTTGTAATTAGGACAACTGGGTTCTAGATGTGGTGATTCTATTGTGTCCATCCCCCAACCCCAGCCTGAGACCAGTCACATAACCTACCAGTTTCCTCGCAAATAGGCTGCAAATTCCTATCTGTGTAGCGTATCTCCTCATTTGGTTTTAAAATATGTGGCTTGGGGCACCTGGGCTGGCTCAGTTGGTGGAGTGTGTGGCTCTTGATCTTGGGGTTGTGGGTATGAGCCCCATGTTGGGGGTATAGATTACTTAAAAATAAAGTCTTAAAAAAATAAGTGGCTTAATGTTTGTACAAGGACCCTATAAAGCAGGTCTTTTGAACTCTACAAAGCAGGTATTTTAGGAGGCATTCTAGAAGTGTGAGAAGGAAGATTATGCCTTTAAAGTTTCACATAGTGAACTAGAACCTTAAACATTTTCCATGTGTCCTGCGAGGAGACTGGCTGACACTCCCTCAGACTCATCATCTTTCCCATCTCTACCTCCATTAAAGCCTCCCACACCTCTGCTTCTCTATTTCCTATCTGAGTGACAGGACCAGTAGAAACCTGGGAATTTCTTTAAGCCCCTAGAGAAAAGCTGTGTACTTGATTTCTACCTCTCACTAATTCACCCTTTTATCCAAAAACAATGTGTTCCTTACTGTTATTTTTAAGTGAAATTTTTAAATATTGTTGAAATTTCTCATTTTTAACTTCTAATATAGTAAATTTTGTTAGCTATAACCAATATAAACAAAATCTCTTTAGGTCTTCAATAATAGTTAAGGGTGTAAAGGGGTCCTGAGACTAAAAAATTTGTTCATCACTGCTTTAGATAATATTGCTTTTTGTCCCAGTAATCTAGAACATAGAATTACACATAAAAATTCATGCATAGTATGTTCATTGCAGCACATTTATCAGTATAATCAACTCAAGCCTCTGAACAGGATTAGTTACATATTCATATTACATTCATAAGGTAGAATACTATACAGTTACTGAACATGTTTTCAAAGAATTTTAATGAATACAGACAACTATTTTGGACAAAGGTGCCAAGAATACATGGATGGGAAAAGGCTAGTCTTCAAAAAATGGTGTTGGGAAGATGCTGTACCTACATGCTAAGAATGAAGTTGGATGATTATTTGACAGCATACACAAAAATCAACTCAAAATAGAATAAAGACATAAATCTACTACCCCAGGGGCGCCTGGGTGGCTCAGTTGTTAAGCGGCTGCCTTCGGCTCAGGTCGTGGTCCCAGGGTCCTGGGATCGAGTCCCGCATTGGGCTCCCTGCTTGGCGGAGAGCCTGCTTCTCCCTCTCCCTCTCTCTGCTGCTCTGCCTACTTGTGCTCTCTCTCTCTGTGTTAAACAAATAAATAAAAATCTTAAAAAAAAAAAATCTACTACCCCAAACCATAAAATTTCTAGAAGAAAATATAGGGGAAACTCCTTGACATTGGTCTTGGCAATGATTTTTTGGACATGATACCCAAAGCACAGGCAACCAAAGCAAAAATAACCAGATAGGACTATGTCAAACTAAAAAGGTTCTGCATAGCCAAGGAAACCATCAACAACAGGAAAAGGCAACCTATGGAATGGGAAAAAAATTTGTAAATCACATATCTGATAAGGGGTTAATGTCCAAAATATATAACTCTTACAACTCAAAAGCAAAAACAAAAACAAACCAAACCCAAAAAACCTGATTAAAAAATGGGCAAAGGACCTGAATAAACATTTTTACAAAGAAGGCAAACAAATGGCCAACAGGTACACAAAAAGGTGCTCATCATCTCTAATCATCAGGGAAATTCATATCAAAACCACAATGAGATATCACCTCACAGCAGTCAGAATGGCTAGTATCAAAAAGACAAGAAATAACAAATGCTGGCAAAGATGTGGAGAAAAGGCAAGGGTTTTACACCTTGTACTCTATTGGTGGGAATGTAAACTGGTGCAGCCACTTTAGAAACCAGTATGGAGGTTCCTCAAAAAATTAAAAATAGAACTACCATTTGATCCAGCAACCCCACTTCTGGGTGTATTCCCAAGGAAAATGAAATCACTACCTTGAAGAGATATATGCACCCTCATGTTCATTGCCGCATTATTCACAATAGCCAAGAAAGGGAAATAACGTAAGTGTCCATTGACAGACGAATGGGAAAGAAAATGTGGTGTATATCTACATATACAATGAGTATTATCCAGCCTTTAAAAAGAAGGAAATCCTGCCATTTGCAAAAACGTGGATGAACGTAGAGAGCATTATGCTAAGTGGAATAAATCAGAAAGAGAGAGACAAATACTCCATAGTATCACATATATGTAGAATCTAAAAGAAAAAGAGAAAGAAGAGAAAAGAAAAGAAAGGAAAAGAAAAAAAAAAGGTCAGATTTGTAGAAATAGAGTAGAACAGTGGTTACCAGGACCTGGGAGGGGGCGGGGTGGGAGCGGGGAAGTGGGGAGATGTTGGTCAAAGCGTACAAACTTTTAGGTGTAAGATGAATAAGATCTGAGGATCTAATGCACAGAATAGTGACAATGGTTATTAATATTGTTTACTTGAAATTTGCTGAGAAGATCTCAAGCATTCTTAATACAAAAAAAGATAACTGTGAGATGATGGATGTGTTAACTTTATTTTTAATCAATTTGATTTGATTTCAAAATGTATATATATATCAAATCATCATGTTGTATATTTTAAATATATTATAACTTTATTTGACAATTATACTCTAATAAAGCTGGGCGGGAAAGAATTCTAATGATATGGGGAAATGCTAGCAGGATAGTATTAAATGAAATATGAGACCATATTAGGTATAATCTCCATTTTGCATATATGTGTGTTTTTGTGTGTGTAAAGGTTTAAAGAAAATTTACCAAATACACCAAAACACTCACAGTGATTATCCATCTTTGGGTTATCAGACTTTGGGTGATTTTGTTTCTTTATACTAAATACTATGATACTAAAATATCATTT